TCCACAGTCGGGTTCGCCATCCATCTCGACGTCGATGGGAGAGTCGCTGATAGAGAGCGCATCCACGCCAGCCATCCAATCATCTCCAAGTGCCTGTGCCTGGTCATCACCACCAGCGTTGTCCTCGCTAGCGGCGTCCAGCGCTGAAAGCCACGAACCACCTGGGTCATCACCACCAGAGTTGTCCTCGCTAACGGCGTCGAGCGCTGAAAGCCACGATTCACCTGGGTCTGCCGCCATGATGGCGGCCAAGAACAAAACTGTTATGGAACATATGGACAAAATCATTGTCATAGAATGAACGGGCTAAGCTGGTTTGAGCCAAAATGGTTACGGACAGAGGGGGAGGTGGAGGAATGGATGTGCCCATCTCGCGATCCAACGGTCCGCCAGGGCTGTCTACCAGGGGCAAGCCATTCAGATCTCGAGGCCACCAGGGGGCACTTACCAGGGGCCACCAGATCTCGAGGCCACCAGATCTCGACCCAGCGGGGGCACCTACCAGGGGCAAGCCATTCAGATCTCGAGGCCATCGCCCCCCCCCCTGAGAACGCGCAGGAAAGTCAGTGGAAGTCCAAGGTCTCGCAGCTTGCCCCCCCATCGGATGGCCAACGCTAGGTCCCGAGCCGCGGTGAGGGGGAGGATGAGTGGGACGAGGGTGCGATTTACAATTGGGAATGCCACTCATAGCAACGGATGTCATTATGCTGCGCCCCTATCACGGCAACCTTTTGAAATGTTGATGCGCCCATCTCAAGACAAGGTCAAGACATCCTCCTGCCCCTATCAGAGGCCCCCAGCGTCTTAACATATCTACCCCACTGCCCCCCTTAAGGTCGACCTGCCCCCCCCCCATATCTTAACATATCTACCCCGCTACCCCACTGTCCTACACCAAGACAGACGTGCTTCATACATAAGATCCGAAACTTAGATTTTCTTGTTTTTTTTTATTTTTGCGGGGTCTCCAAACATTGCTTTGCAGATAGCTTTTCGGGAGGTTTTGATTTTTTCCGAAGGGCCTTGCGGGGTCTCTGCAGATGCCCCGCGGGGTCTCTGCAGGGAAATGTCTGGGGGTCTGTTTTTACTCCTGCGGAAGGCTGGCGGGGAAAAAAACAAAGGGATTCAGGTTTCCGCTCTGTAGGAGGCATGACCGACACAAGTCTAATCTCGGATATCAAGCAATACCATAAGCAGAAACTTTCAGAGGTCCGCGCAGATTTCTCGGCTCGGCGCTGGATTCCCCTGGCGGCGCCTCCGACGCCGCCCCTGGCGCGCTCCGCGCACCTGGGAAGGGGGTCCGGCGCCGATCCAAGAAATCTGCGCGGATTTCCGAAAGTTCTTGTTTACGTCATCACCTGTGCCCCGTCAACCGACGCTGCCCCCAGCAGACCGCTCCCTTCCGTGACCCGACTTCACGTTAGAGTGACCCTGCGCCCGACTGGCCTCTGGTGCGGGCCCGCCGGCACCCCCGATCGCCGAACGCGAGGCCGCAGAGGCGTTTTGAGCGCTCGTGTCTGGCTCCCCCGCGGCCCGTAGCAAAAGCCGCGCGCCAAAGGCCACTCTTACAGTCAGCCCGCACAGGAAGGATGGGCAACCTTCCCAAGGTTCCCTTGCATCCTTGCCTCCTCGGTCCATCCTTGGCCACTTCCGTTAGCCGCGCCCCCCTCGGAAAGCTCCGAAAGGGGCGTCCAAGGCCCTTGCATCCTTGTCTTCAGTCGGGCCTGTCTTTTTACAGGGCGGATATTCCAAAGTAGTGAAAAATAGTCTGGGGACTATTTTCGGAGTATTCTTTGACAATTTTGGAGTATTTTTGAATACTTGTCATTTGTCGTCGAATATCCCCCTGCACGGGGACGCGCCCGACTTAATCCTAGGTGTGCATCTGGAGGTCCCTAGAGGCCTCTCGAGGTCTCCAGGGGTCTCTGGAGGCCTCTACTCCCATCCTCCAGCCCCTATCTCGGAGGCCTCCAGAGGTGTGCATCTGAGGGCCGCGGGGCCTCAGCCTCTCGCGCGTGTGCAGCCGAGGGACGACCCCCCCCCCGTCTCGCTCCGAGGCGTGGCCAGGCGGCCGGAGGGAGAAGCCTCGCGGGCGAGGGGGAGTCGTCATTGAATGGGGCTCGCCACGGACGGAGTCGCGCTTAGGCTGATGGGCCGATTTTCCATTCCACCCCCACTACCGTAGTCAGGAGGGAAAGAAGCACACAGACACAGTCAATCGTCGACTCCCAGGAAAATATGGGAAAACATGGGAAGTGTGGGGGGAAGACAAAAACCTAGAAAATATGGGAAAGTATGGGGAATGCTGCTATTTGTCAATGTATTTGTGTGCCCCTGGGCCCCTTTCAGAGGAGGAGGACATCCTCATCCTCCATCATCCCCCGTCATAGCTATTGGTAGTGGTGGTGGAAGATATAGCCCGCGCCAGAGTCGAATAAGACAACGCCATAAACATATACTTTTGGCGCTCCACGCGGATTCCTTGGGTCTGCGTCGGGGCCCCCCTGGCGGCGCCTCCGGCGCCGCCCCAGGCGCGGGGGGTCCAGCGCGGACCTCCGAAGGTGCTTGTCTGTGCCGTGCTTTCTTCTTCAACAGAGGGCATCGGGCACCACCGGCCACAATGAAGCACGATAGGGTTTCAAGAGCCCCCACGTGGTATTTCCGCCGACGTGCGCGGCACCGAACAGTGCCACTTGTGCTCGCCGGTTGTTCTGTTCTCTGCATCGTGTCCGTGATGATCTACGCTGTGCTGGGGAAAGCCTGTGTCCTGTGTTTGCTCTCTGGCGCCCGTCGTTTTCATTTATCTTAGGCCAGAAATGTCGCTTGTAGTGAATCCGATGTACCAGGGAAGTCAATTTATCCAGGGTGTATACTCGAGGGTGGCCGACGCGCAGCAAGGATCGGTCAGCAATTGTTCTGCCTCCGCCGCCGCCGTGGAAGAAGGAGGAGAAGGGGGGGGGGGCAAGGAGGAGAGGGAGGAGGAGAGCAGAAGAACAGGAGGAGCAGAAGGAGGAGGAGCAGAAGGAGGTGGAGGAGGAGAAGCAGAAGAGGGACAGGAGGAGGAGGGAGGAGAAGGAGGAGGAGGAGGAGGAGAATGGGGAAGAGAAGGAGGAGGAGCAGAAGGACGGGGCGCAACCCGGGGGACGCGCGGGGTGCACTGCCAGGCAAAAGAGTGTTGTTTCCCAACCATCCTGTGGTGTTGGGTCTTCGCTTTGAAGAGGCGGTGCCCCGCGTCTCCTTCTGCTCCCGCTGCCCCCTTCCTCCTCCCTCCTCCCCCTCCTTGCCTCTGCTCTCGGCACACCCCTCACACGCTTCGCAGCCCCATGGGGAGCTCCACCGAAGGTCCCAGTGGCACAGCCAGCATGCGGTTCCCCCACTCAGGGCGGCGCTTCGTAGCCCCATAGGGAGCTCCACCGAAGGTCCCATTGGCGCAGCCCGCATGCGGTTCCCCCACCCAGGGCAGCGCTTCGTGGCCCCACAGGGAGCTCCACGGAAGGTCCCAGTGGCTTAGCCCGCATGCGGTTCCCCCACCCAGGGCAGCGCTTCGTAGCCCCATAAGGAGTTCCACCGAAGGCTCCCTGGCACAGCCCGCTTGCGGTTCCCTCACCCAGGGCAGCGCTTCGTGGCCCCACAGGGAGCTCCACCGAAGGTCCCATTGGCACAGCCCGCATGCGGTTCCCCCGCCCAGGGCAGCGTTTCGTACCCCCATAGGGAGCTCCACCGAAGCTCCCAGTGGCACAGCCCGCATGCGGTTCCCTCACCCAGGGCAGCGCTTCGTGGCCCCATAGGGAGCTCCACCGAAGGTCCCAGTGGCACAGCCCGCATGCGGTTCCCCCACCCAGGGCGGCGCTTCGTAGCCCCATGTGGAGCTCCACGGAAGGTCCCAGTGGCACAGCCCGCATGCGGTTCCCCCACCCAGGGCAGCGTTTCGTGGCCCCATAGGGAGCTCCACCGAAGCTCCCAGTGGCACAGCCCGCATGCGGTTCCCCCACCCAGGGCAGCGTTTCGTGGCCCCATAGGGAGCTCCACCGAAGCTCCCAGTGGCGCAGTTCGCATGCGTCCCCCCCACCCAGGGCAGCGCTTCGTGGCCCCATAGGTAGCTCCCCCGAAGGTCCCAGTGGCGCAGTTCGCATGCGTCCCCCCCACCCAGTACAGCGCCTCGTGGCCCCACAGGGAGCTCCACCGAAGGTCCCAGTGGCGCAGTTCGCATGCGTCCCCCCCACCCAGTACAGCGCTTCGTGGCCCCATACGGGGCTCCCCCGAATGCGATACCCACAACTGCATATGGTTGGGTCCTTCGCCTGGCTAAGTTTTAGGGGGGGGAGTCCTGGCAGAGCTGAAGACCTTTCGAGAACAGGAAACACGCGACTCCAAACATCCGTGGAAATCTGGCTCATGGCCACTCTAATTATTAGGGGATCACGTGCGAACCCTACCCCTACCCCCCACGATTTCTGAGAGGGAGGGTGGGGTTCACTTCGTGCGGGAGCTCCGGAGCGAAGTGAACCCCACCCTCCCCCTCACAAATCGTGGGGGGTAGGGGTAGGGCTCGCACGTGGCCGCTCTAGTTATATTGCGGGGTGTGCAGTGTTAAGTCGGGCCCGTCCCTCTACAGGAGGAATATTCAAACATAGTAAAAAATAGCCGGGGGACTAAGTTTGGAGTATGTTTTGACCATTTGGGGGCATGTTTTGCGTATGTCTTCTTTGTCGTCGAAAATCCCCCTGTAGGGGGACAGGCCCGACCTAATTATAGGTCTGACTTGTGGGGTGTGTAGTGGGGTTGCGCATCAAGAAATCACATGCTTTTCGTCAGGGTACCTTGGGCTTCTTCGCTGCGCTCGCTGCGAGGGAGCTTCCTGCGTGAGTTGCGCAGCTGTTGCGTTCAGGGTGCCCGGGGTTCCCCCCAAAAAGTTCACACCGCGCACGTATGCCAAGGCGAGGTCTCTTGCAAGGGGTTCTCTCGCGGCCTCTGTATGGTTCACGTGTGGCCGCCCATAGGTGGCCAGGGAGCCGGCGGTGCAGCTGGTTGCCTGCGACAGCAGCAACACGCCGAGGGACCAGAGCGTGGGAGGCAAGCAGTGTGGGGGCGACATCACCCTCCACCGCTACCTCAACCACAGAACTCTGGATCTGGTGCAGGGCCAGGTGGAGCTCATGCAGTCGCGCATGGTGCGACGCATCGAGTGGGACGTCCAGCAGGCGTCGCTTCTCCAGCAGTGCTTCCCGATGGGCGAGGTTCGGTGGCGAGCCCAGTGGGGGGAAGTCAGACGGGGCAGGTCTTCTCAGAAGCCTCGGTAGGCCCGTAGCCTTGCGGGGAGTTCCCTAAGCCTTCCCCGAAGGCACGGGACACTTCTCAGAAGGCCGAAGGGCTTCTGAGAAGGCCCGGCGCCTTCTGAAAAGACCTGCTCCGCGTCAATTCCGCCCCCAAGGTTGTTTTGCTTCTTCGGGGGACTTCTTCTGTCCTGTAAATAGTCTTTTCTCGTGCCCCGAACGTGGGTTCGACACGGCTTCGACGCGCACTTGGCAAGGATTCGATTTTTTTGAGGTGGGTTCGACATGGATTCGACGCGGATCTCGGCGCGACGGGACAGAGAAGGTCCCTTGGAGATGCAATATAACGAGGGCGCGCCGCCGAGAGGCCGTCTGCAGCACGACCTTCGAGGCTCGGGTGGGGCCAGGACGAGGATGAATCCAGCAGAGACTTCCGGCACGCTCCCAGAGCCTTTTCAGGAACGTTCTGAGAAGGCCGCGGCGCTCCAGACATCTTCCAGAGCCGCTAGATGTCAGAGATTCTCGAGTTCCCCTCACCTCCGACGTGGCGAAAAATCGCAACATCGCCAGGAAATCGCGACCAGAGCCCCGGAGCCAATCTTTCTGCGTCATTTTTCGAGCCGGATCGATCTGTGAGGGTCCCGGGGCCCGAGACGGGACGAAAACGCCCGCTGTGAAAGAAAGATGCAGCGCCAAGATTTGAGGGTATCCTCACCCAGTGTTATCCTTGTCCCAGCTTCGTCTCAGAGGCCGCCGGCATCCAGGGCCTGCAGCTGGTGTTCTACCCCTCCGGCTGCTCCGGCGCCCGGGACGGTTGGTGCTCGTGCTTCGTGCATTGCCCAGCAGGCCGGGGCCCGAACGAAAGGGTTCAGTCGGGCATGTCTCTGCACAGGAGGAGTATTCAAGAATAGTAGAACATAGTCAGGTGACGATTTTCCTTCTGTTTTGACCCTTCCGGACAATATTTGGACATGTTTGAACTTTTCTTCCAACGTAGGAGGACATGCCCGACCGAACGAGAGGGGGCAGTGGCGAACGAGAGGGGGCAGTGGGAGCGGCTCGGGGGATCCCGATTTGGTAGCAAATCATGGGGGGCCTTGTACACCCTCGTGCAGTAGAGACGCATGCCAAGAGATACCCTGCTCGCCTCCAGGGTGCCCTGGGCTTCTTGGCTTTCGATGTTTCTGCTGTGGCAGGCGTGACGTTCCCGCACCAAAAACTCGTGGACGTCCCTGGGGTCTCGGGGTTGGGTTTCTCTCGGAAGGTCTCTTGTGGCCGAGCTCCTATTGTACAGTCAGGGAGCTGAAGTAAAGACGGCTTGTCAGAGCCCCGAATCATCAGGGGTAGTTCGGGTCAGGGCTAACTCGGGTTCGTTTTTCGGGAATCCGAACCCGACTTGCCCCGGATCCGACTTACCGCAGATAATTCGGGCGTCCAGAGCCCCGAATCATCAGGGGTAGCTCGGGTCAGGGCTAACTCGGGTTCGTTTTTCGGGAATCCGAACCCGAATCACCCCGGTCCCGAGTTACCCCGGATAGTTCGGGCGCCCAGAGCCCCGAATCATCAGGGGTAGCTCGGGTCAGGGCTAACTCGGGCTCGTTTTTCGGGAATCCAAACCCGACTTACCTCGGACCCGAGTTACCCCGGATAGTTCGGGCGCCCAATATTGGGGATCGGGAGGGATCGGGTCTTCGCACCGCTCCTGAGGTTTCTGTCGTGGCACCTGTCTGTGGCCCAGGCCCGCCGTGGCCAGACGAGCCCCATTCGTTCCAATTCGTGCGTTCTCGGAAACTGGAGCATACAGTCGGGGCGCTGAAGAAGGAACCCTTTTCGTTGGGGAGGGGCTCGGTGTTCCTTGATTGTTTCGAAGTCTGCCTCGGGTTTCCTGAGGTTTCGCATGGGAAATCGAGGTTGAACTTATGGGAAAAAGGGGCCTCGTTCCTTATTTAGGGTGCCTTAGGTCAACGCCTCGACTGTACACATTACCAGTGGCGGGCGGTGTTTCAATCCCAGGACTTTTTTGAGGGTCGGGGACGACGCTGGGGTGGTGTGGTGTATACTTTTTTCCTCGATGTCCCGGGGAAACAACAAAGCATGTGTACACCAGGGCCCCGTATACACCAGGATCCGCTCTCCGGTGCAGATTTCTAGGCAGGGCCAGAAAAGCGTCGGTGTATAGAGTTCGATTCCCTACGTGCCTCATGATAGCACGACGGCTGCAACTCCGTTACTCGAGCGTGCTAGCGTCGATTAGCGTTTGCTACTCGATGAGGTAGTGCCGATCTAGCATCGGCTAGCGTCGATGTGTCGTCGATCAGCGTCGATGAGTGTTGATTAGCGTAGGTCAGCGTCGATTCGCCAGAGCCAACAGGGTGGTACGGGAGGTTCCCAAGAGTTGCTGCAGAAGGGGGCAGTGGGCAGGGGTCGAGGAATCCTGCAAGCCCACGTTGCGTAACAAAACGTAGCATCGTGAATGATCACCACGCGAGGTTTTTCGTTACTTTTGGCTTCGGGGTGCTTTTACTGGGTCCGGGATGAAAAAACGGTTCCAGGGAATGACTCGAGATCTTTGGGAGTCGACGTTCTGAAGAAATCATGACGTCGGGGGCATGGGCTACCAGAGTCATGTTCCCAATCGTTTTTTCGATTATCTAGCCTACTACAGTCGACCCGCATGGTAAGGATGGGCAACCTTCCCAAGGGTACCCTTGCATCCCTCCCTCCTCGGTCCATCCTTGGCCACTTTCGTTGGCTGCGCCCCGCTCGAAAAGCTTCGAGATGGCCTTCCAGCGCTCTTGCATCCTTACCTTGCATCCTTATGATACGGGTTGACTGTATTCCCATTCTTACTGGCTTACTCATCGAACCTATAATCGACATGTGATGTACCCGGCCGGTGCCCGCAACCGGGCGGACACGCCAGGTGCAAAAAAATATGGTAGCGCCCGGGGATGCAGGGGTGGGGAACGGGTCGGGGGGCGTCAAGGAACCGCGTTCACCGATCCCAGCCTGGCTCAGATTCGGGCGAATGGGTTCTCTGCAACGGGTGTCTCAAAAATGTATGCAATAGTTGTTAGTCGGGCATGTCCCTCTACAGGAGGAATATTCGAAAATAGTCAAAAAATGTCTGGGGACGATTGTTTCGATCGTTTTGTTGTTATATCCCTTTTGGGGTATGTTTGACTTTTTTCCCATAGCCGAAGATGGGCTTATTCCCCATATCCTAAGTATCGGGTTCTTGTTATTGGCGGACCGCGCCGGAGGAGAGAGAGAGAGAGAGAACACACCACTCCTCTCACTCAGACCCACTCACTCATCACTCAGACTCACTCATCACTCAGACCCACTCATCACTCATATTCACTCATCACTCGGAAACACTCATCACTCGGACTCAGTCATGACTCAGACTCATCACTCATCACTCAGACTCACTCATCACTCAGACTCACTCATCACTCAGACTCACTCATCACTCAGACTCACTCGTACTTGTACTCGTACGTGCACTACACTCACTCAGGTCCACTCATCGGATGATTCACACACGCACAGATGTTGAGGATGTCTCAGGCGATTCTGTGGCTTCAGCACTCCTAAGGGGAGCGGCGGGGGGGTATTGCACTCGGCCCCTTTCGCAAGATTTTGTGGGGATGTCTCAGGCGGTTTGGCCATTTTCTCTTCCAACATGTTTCGCTTTCGGAGCAGATTTGGAGGATGTCTCAGGCGATTCGTAGGTTTCAGCACTCCTAAGGGGAGCGGCGGGGGGGTATTTCACTCGGCCCCTTTCGCGGGATTTTGTGGGGATGTCTCGGGCGGTTTGGCCATTTTCTCTTCCAACATGTTTCGCGTTCGGAGCAGATTTGGAGGATGTGTCAGGCGATTCGCTGGTTTCAGCACTCTAAGGGGAGCGGCGGGGGGGTATTGCACTCGGCCCCTTTCGCGAGATGCTGTGGGGATGTCTCAGGTGGTTTGGCAATTTTCTCTTCCAACATGTTTCGCTTTCGGAGCAGATTTGGAGGATATCTCAGGCGATTCGCTGGTTTCAGCACTCTAAGGGGAGCGGCGGGGTGGTATTTCACTCGGCCCCTTTCGCGGGATTTTGTGGGGATGTCTCAGGCGGTGTGGCCATTTTCTCTTCCAATATGTTTCGTTTTCGGAGCAGATTTGGAGGACGTTCGCGCCCAGTTTGCGGGGATGTCTCAGGCGGTTTGGCCGTTATGATGTTGGGCACTTGTCGTTTTCGGAGCAGTTTTGGGAGGATGTCTCAAGCGATTTGCTGGTTTCAGTACTCCCAAGGAGGAGGAGGAGGAGGAAGAGGAGGAGGAGGAGGAGGAGGACGAGGAGGAAGAGAAAGAGGAAACGAGGAGGAGGAGGAAGAGGACGAGGAGGAGGAGGAGGAGGATAAGGAGGACAGCATGAACACGGTAGGAGCAGAAGCAGGAAGGGGAGGAGGATGATGATGATGAGGAGGAGGGGGAGGAGGAGGAGGACGTGGGCAACTCGAGTAGCCAGGGCCAGACGATCGAGGTTCGATGTTCCAAGCTTTTAGGTTTTACTCAAAAGCTTCCGCCTCACTCTCCTTCGCTCTCCGCTCCCCTTCACTCTTCTGCATTCATACTCACTCATACACAGACTCACTCACACGCAGGCTCACTCGCACTCAGACTCGCTCATGTCCACACTTCAACTTACTCACACTCAGACTCACGCTCAGAACCACTCATACTCAGACTCGCTCCTGTTCAGACTCATCATCCTTCGGTCCGCTCAAACGCAGACCGACTCACACTCAGACTGCCTCACATCCATACCCAATCACACTCGGCTCACTCGCACTAAGATTCATTAACACACTTTTCCCCCACACTCAGACCCACTCAAGCCCAGACTCACTCATGCTCAGACCCATCATGATACGACCCGCTCAATCACATACTGGCTCACACTCAGAGTCGTCCATAATCAGACCCACTCGCACACAAACGCAATCGCGCTCATATTTACTCGCACGCATACCCACTCAAACCCAGGCTCAATCGCACACATATTATCTCACACTCAAAACCAGTCGCTCTCAGATTTGCTATTGGTCGCACTCATGCTTGCAGACTGTGGGGATGTCTCGAGCGAGCGGTTCGCCCTCGCACACAGGCGCTCATTGACAGATATCAGTAGAAAGACGTACCAAGAGAATGATATGCACATATAGGGGAGCCCCGCGTCGAGTAATTGTTGTTACTTGGACGCCTCCTACTCCTTCTCATCCTCCTTCTCAGACCTAGACTTAGTCATACACAGACTTATACATGCACAGACTTACTCATACCCAGACCTGAACATATTAACTTACGAATACTCAGACCTACTCATACTCAGACCTACTCATATTCAGAATTACTCATGCTGAGACTCACTCATACTCAGACCTTTTCATTGTCTGACTTACTCAACACACAGCATAGTGTGAGGATGTCCCAGGCGGGGCGCTCATTTTCACCCCCCTAAGGGGGGCCGCCGAAGGGGTATTGCACGGTCCCGTTCGCGGCCGTTTTGTGGAGATGCCTGAAGCGGTTTGCTTGTTTTCTGCTCCAACATCATTCGCTTCCGGATCAGATTTGGAGGATGTCTCGAGCGAGGCGTTCATCTTCACACCCCAGGTGGGCCAGATTTGGAGGACGTTTCGATCGGTTTCTTTGTTTTGGTGGCCAGGCTCGTGGGCACATATTCTCCACAGGAGGCTCCAACAGGCTCCAGGAGGCCCGAGGAGATTACACGAGGTCCCAGGAGGCACGAGGAGGCAACAGAAAGACTCAAGAGGCCACAGGATGCCCCAAGAGGCTCCG